CGATTAGAATACTAAATTAAACTAGATGAATCAGATTTATCTTCAGTAATCAATCCATAATCAGTAATAACATTAGTCATTTTTAAATTTTGAATTATAGTTTTTGAATTTGCAATTGACATAGTTGTATATTAAAGTGAAATATATTCTTAAAATGGATCTCCTGGTTATTTCATTTAAACAAGATTATCAGATAAATGAACCACATAATAACCTGTTTTTAATTCTTTTTAAATGCTTTCTATTGGTGCACATTTATTGTATGAACTTGAATTCTTACATTATTAAATCATAATTGTAATATATTGATATGTTTTACCAGCAATTTAACCTTACAAAATCTAATATATATAATTATAATAAAATTACAGGAGGTGAGTTATTCCATTATTTTGAATTCAAACATTAAGTATATCCTAAATTGATTGATTAAAAATAATTTTTTTAAACATTTGTAACAAAATGTTAATCATCACATGCTTCTGTTGGATATTCAGTACAACTTAAATATTAAAAAGAAAAGATACTTCTATTAAATTTTAGTTTTTCCTGTTTATTCATCAATGACTCTTAATCTGATACAGTTTTTCACTGTAATAGTAAAATGTGTATTTAATGTTGTAAGAGTATTTAGACTTAGATTAGCAACTGAAATTGCCATCGTAAAGTTATTCATTAATAAAGGAACAGGCTTTAATAATTAAATAGATTTACAGCAGTATCAGTCATTTAATATTCTGAAAACACAACAAAAGGGTTTTTTCGATCGTATAATTATATGATTTAATAAATTAAATATAGTAAGCAAATAGTAGTGATCGCTGATGTACAAAAGAAGCCTGTTGAAGTAGTGAATTTACTTTTTTTTAATATTCTCAATACAGGAGGTTATCCAAATACATCTAATCCACTTAAAAATCCTTATAAACTATTTTTAAACATTTATGTGTTCCTTTTTTGGTACTTAAACATAATTTCTTAATTTGATATTCTTTTAAGCAATTATTTATTTTAACATTAATTCTTTCAATAATGGTTTTTAAAAAGAGTAAAACTAAAATAAAAATAATTATAATCAATATCAAGTTGATTCATATGTTAAAACAATGAAAATTAAGTAATCAAATCAAAATTAATAAATGGTAGATTATAATACTTATAAGCAGCATTTGTTTCAAAATCCATTTATTTATTTAGTATTAGATTCATCATAAATAAGTTAAATTTAAGTTTTCTTCAATATTAATATGTTTATTAGAATAGTATATTTTTAAGGCAATATTACCTTTTATTTTTTTAAAGAATGGCGTTGTCTTAAGAATTTATGAACTTAAAATTGATTTGAAAAAAAAAATATAATAAATAGGATTATGATGATCACAATAATTGCTTTATGTTCTTAAAAATTAAATTATAATAATTTAATAGAGAATTAAATAATATTTAAAATAGTACTTTTAAATTGTTTGATATTATTTATATTAACATATATATAAATATATATGATTTTGTATAATAAATAAGAAAACCAAAAGATTTATATAAATGTTATTAATATTCATATAATTTAGATTGAGTTTGAATTAAGTAATATTATATATAAATTATTATATTAATTGAGTCAACACATCATAATAGTCTGTATTACACATTAATTTAAATATAAATATTCTGAATAATCATGAAAGTAGAGGAAGAGGGAATTTCACTAAAAGGAACTGTGTTAGACCCATTAATTGAAAAGTAGGAAATTAAATTAAGAGAAATAATACTTAATTAGACAATTTCTTAAAAAAAGGCGTGTAATGAAATCAATAATAGCAAATACTCTATATTGACATTTTTACCTTTAGTATTGTTTTATTAATTTTAACATTTCTTTAACTTATACTTTTTAGGATTGACTATTACTTAATTCATACCTGCTTTAAAAGTAGGTAAAATATAATGTTTTATTATATTAGGATTTATTATCAATTATGTAGGTCCATTATCAATAGTTGTATGTTTATCTATGTGTAAAGAAGCTTATGATGATATTTTAAGACATTCAAGAGATAGATAAATAAACAATCAACTTTATTAGATATTAACAATAGAAGGTTTGATGAACAAGAAATCAGGAAATTTATAAGTAGGATAAATTGTTTAAGTTAATAAAGATGAAAGAATACCTGCAGATTTATTAATATTAAGAACAGATGATAAAGATGGAAATGCATTTATTAGAACAGATTAATTAGATGGTGAGACAGATTGGAAATTGAGAAAATCTATTAAAATAACATAAAATATGGATGATAATTAATTAACATCCATATCTGGAATAATTTAATTTGAATAACCTCATTAAAATATAAATATTTTTAAAGGATTAGTATAAATTGATGAAATAGATGGAAAATAAGTTCGTGAATCAATAAATTTAGAAAATGTTATTTGGGCAAATAGTGTTTTAGCTGTAGGATAAATTTATGGGATAGTAATTTATAATGGAAACGAAGCAAAAATGATGATGAATTAAAAGAAAGCTTAAACTAAAAAGGGAATTTTTGATGTTGAAGTTGATAAATTAAGTAAATTATCATTTTTCATTATGATTGTTTTGGCTGTTATCATAACATTATTTAGCAGTCCTCCAAGAGATCTTAGATATGTATTGTAAATGTATATGAGATATTTAATATTAGTTAGTAACATTATTCCAGTATTATATTATAATATATAATTAGATTTCTATGAGAGTAAATTTAGAATTTGCAAAAATAGTTTATTCTATTAGAATTAATAGAGATAATAAAATTGAAGGAACTATCACCAGGAATTCAAATATACCTGAATCTTTAGGTAGAATTTCGTATTTATTAAGTGATAAAACTGGTAAATTTAATTATTAATTGAATGAGGCACTCTCACATAAAATGATATGATTTTTAAGAGATTTTCATTAGAAAATGAGAAATATACTATTGAACAAGAAGATTTATAAAAAATAAAATAAATCCTCTATGATTAATTTAAATATTCAAATAAAAAGAATGGAAAAATGAGAGATTTCTTTACATGTTTAAGTGTTTGTCATCATGTAACACCAGTTGATGATGAATATGGAAATCGTACATATTAAGCTTAATCTCCAGATGAAATAGCATTAATTAAATTTGCTGCATAATAAGGTTTCTATATATCATCAAGAGATGATAAAGAAATCATTATACATATAGATTAAAATGAACTTAAAATAATGGAAAGATATTAAATATTAAATAGTTTTCCATTTTCAAGTGAAAATAAAAGAATGGGAATAGTTTTAAAAAATAATCAAAATTAAATACATTTTTATGTTAAAGGTGCAGATATAGTACTCAAATAATTATTACCAGAATAATATTAAAGTTATATTGATGAAGAGACAGAAAATTTAGCTAGAATAGGTTTAAGAACACTTGTATTGGCTCATAAAAAACTATCTTAATAAGAATATGATGAATGGAATCAAGAATATATAAAAGCAACTTAATTAATTGAAAATAGAGAGTAGAAAATGTAAAAATTAATTGAATAACTTGAAAGAAATTTAGATTTTATAGGAATAACAGGTGTAGAAGATAAATTATAAGATGTAATTAATAATATTAGATAAGGATGTGTCACATACTATTGAAAATTTAAAAAATGCAGGAATCAATGTTTGGATGTTGACAGGTGATAAAATGGAAACAGCTATTTGTATTGCTATTCTATCTGGTCTTAAACATGCAACATAAAATTTTATTATTATGAAAGATGTTATTGATGAAGTACTATAATAATTATATAATAGATATAAATGTCATTAATTTTATAAAATTTAGAGGCTAATTCTAATAATGTATTAGTTATTGATGGAACAAGTTTATAAGAAGCATTACATGGATTTGAATAACAATTTATGAAAGCTGCTATGAATTGTCCTTCAGTAATTTGTTGTAGATGTTCTCCTACATAAAAATCTATTGTAACTGAACTATTAAAGAAATACTCAGGACTTGTTGTAGCAGCAGTAGGTGATGGAGGAAATGATGTTGGAATGATATAATCTAGTGATGTAGGAATAGGTGTTGAAGGTAAAGAAGGTAAATAAGCTGCTTTAGCATCTGATTTTTCAATCTTAAAATTCAATTCATTAAATTTGCTATTATTATGGCATGGAAGATTATCATACAAAAGAAGTTCTTTACTTTCTTAATTTATTCTACATAGAGGTCTTTTGATTGCCACAGTTTAAACTATATTTATGTTTTTATTTTACTTTCTGTCAATCAGTTTATTCTCTGGTTTTTTAATGTTTGGATATTCCACTATTTTCACGTATACATTATTTATATATTTAAGGATGTTTCCTGTATTTTGCATTATTTATGATGAAGATGTTAAATAAGAAATTGCTTTAAGATTTCCACCTCTATATAAATCAATTCAATAAGGAAGGTTACTTAATACAAAGACATTTCTTATTTGGTTATGGAAGGCTGTATTCCAAGGTTTTATTATAATGATTTGTTCAATTCTTTTGATTAAGTAAGCCTTTTTAAGATTAGAAACAACTGTTTTCACATGTTTAATATTTACATAATATGCTATGACACTTACAGAAGTATTAATAATTCAAATTTAATAGTTAGAATCTCTACATATTTATATGATTATGTCAAACTTATTGTCTATATTGATCTATCTTATGACATTATTATTGTTTCCTGAATAACTCTTAGTATAAGATACAATTGATGTACCATTTTTTGGATGGGTGATCTTAATTTTATTAATGAGTTGGTTACCTTTGTATATTTTAAGGAGAATCTTAAAATCAGTGGATCCATCTGATTACGAGAAACTTATGGACTAAGTTTAAAGAGAAACAATTAATACGAATTGAATGATTAATTATTATTCTATTTTGATTAAGCTTTTTCTTCTAACAAATTTTTGATAGTTATTATTTTTATATAAATATATTTATGTCAGCTTTTAAGACTTTAATGAAAATGCCATAAACTAAATTAGCATCTAAATGTATAGCCTTAGAAGAATTGTTATAGCGTTATTATTAGTTTGAAGAAGTTCATTATGATTTATAAAGCAAATACTAAATTCTTTAAGAAAAATTTGAGAAGCTTAGTCAATAGCATATATAATTAATGCAAAGTATTTAAAATGATAAAGATTCTATTTCTCAAAAGAGTTATAAAAAATTAGATTCTTACCTTAATTGTGCAGAGAAAATAGAGTTATGTGCTATTGAAGATCTCGAAACACAAAAATTAATTGAAGAATTGAAGTAATAAAATTAAAAAATGAAGGAAGAAGTCTCTTAAAGTAAATAAGAATATCAAAGATTATAATCAATGTATTTTTATTACTATCTAGATTTGAATAAACTTAGACAGAATTACTGAGATCTGCATCTGTAAAAACGGCTTCAGATTCTAAATATAATTCTCTTATTGATGATAAAAGTAATGATTCTATTTAATCTTATAAAAATGAAATTGCCAGATTAAATAAAATAGTAATTTTTCTTATTTAGTGTAGGTAACATCTTTGAGAGTTGAATTATGTCAATATAAAACAAGAGAATATGATGAAGAGTGGATGAAGGCTTAGCTTATTAAATATTAAAAATAATCTTAATTATCAAGCAATAATAATAAATCTTTTGACATTCTTGATTATGTTGATAATTGATACATCAAATTTATTTAATGAATTCTAATCATAATGATCATTGAATGAATATCAATATTTTGTTATTTCTTTTATTATTTACATACATAGATTGATGTACTATTTCATTTATGTATATCTAATAGAATCCTAATTATAAATCTTAATTATTACTTTATTAATTTATATTAGATAATTAAATCTATTAACTAAAATTAAGTTGATATAAAATAAATTATGAATGGATTATATTTATATTAGACTGATAATTAGAGCTATTAATTTAATTGATTAATCTAATTATTTTTATTTTATTTTTAAGTATTTGAATTCTAATAAGGAAGATATAATTATATTATAATAATAATTTATGTAATATATTAAAATTATTGAATCTACTAATATTTACATTTAACTCAAAGATCTTGTTTATATTTACAATGTTTTGTTATTGCTATATAATAGTTGAGTAGTTTATTAATGATTTTGAAGATATCTTAATAACTCTTAATCTATTTCTATTATGCAATAAAGATTTAAAACTAAATATTGAATAGAAATTAATTTAATTAGAACAACAAAGAATCTGTTCATTTATGAGAAAGACTTCTTCAATATTAAAATATGCTTAATAATATATTAAAAATTATTATAACAACATAATTAATATTAAGATATTTATTTCTTAAAATAAACATCGGAATTACATTGAAAGTCCATCTTACATATTATATAAAATTATCAGAGAGAGTCTTAATTAAATCTGATTTTTACATTTATATAAAAACATGCACTCTAGTTGGTATTATTACATTTCTATTTCCTTATTATTATAAAGAACTTTGTTTAGACATGATAGTATTACATATCTAAATATAATAACGATTATAAAAAGATATAAGTTTTTAAATAAAATAAAGTGTTGTACACCATATTTAATTACTTAGAAATAATCAATTACTTATATCATATAGAAATACTGTCTATATATTTATATTTAGAGAATTGATTTTCACAAAAATAATTACATTATTTAAATACTATGCGAAAATCAAACTTAAAATATTTAGATTTTATAATATTTATCATCAAATTTAAACTTCTTATTAAGCACCTGATAATAAAAACTGGGAAAGTTAATCAAACTCTGATGTCATCTACTATAAATTAATTTCAATACTTTATTGAATAACTGATAAATATCATTAAATGATTTATTTATGTTTTAAACATAAATATCATCTTTCAATAGATCTAGATCACCTTCTTCTAATTGTTAATTGTAATTTGATGAATTTAATTATTATAATTGATTTGGTGGATTATAATTTTATTATTCGATATTTTACTATTGGTTATATGATGAATTTTAAGGTTATTGTCTTTCCTAATCTTGAGTACCTTTACTTTGATTTAGTTAAGATATATTTTTTTCTTTTTTTTTCGAATTACAGGCTCCCATTAATTTTTATTTTATATTTAATATTTTGATCAAAACTATTAATATTAAGATAGGATTATATTTAAATCTATTCTATTATTTATATATTCAAATTTTCATTATGATTTTGCACTAAATACTTTGATTATTTTTTTAAGTTCAAGAACCTCTTCTTATTGATGGATTTACATTTCATAATGGATTATAATATATTAATGAAGTTCCTATTTACAATAGATTAATAATTAATATATAATAGATTCAAATATCTTCATCACTACTTTCTTTATCATCTTATAACATTGATTATCGATTACTATTCATTTGATCTTACATAGCAATTATCTATAAAAGATTTAATAGTTATTGCATTCCTCCTGATTATCTTTGATATTGATTCCTTTATTATAATAATTAAGTTCTTAAATCTTCAGTAGTCTATTGCTATGTAGATAATTGTTTTCTTGAATCTTTTTTTGAATAAACATAGAGTTAATTTTAAGTAGGATGAAACTTTATACAAGATATTTCTTTATCATATTCTGATATCTATTTTTAATTAATTAATTACTTAGTATGACTCAATTGGTTTACATGATTTTTGAATATGCCATACCAATAAATCACCTTTATTAGTACCTGCAGCTATTAAATTATAATTAATCCATCCTATATCAAATTGATTATTTAAAGAAGAATTAATTCTTGATGTAGTTTAGAATACTTTAATCAATTATAAATCTGGTATTGCATATAAATACAATTATTATATAGTGTCATTTACTTAAATTAAAACAAAATTAAAATGTTTATCTACAACTGAATTTTAATTATTGTTAGAACTAGAAGTCTAAGAAATTTAATATTTTGTATATAATTTATACAAACTAATTTTATTTTAACTAGTTAAAAGCATTAATTCTTTTTATTAATGAGTATGTAATTTTAACAATTTCTCTTCAATTTTTAATCCTCCTTTTCTTTCATTTTCATTCCATTCATAAAGCCATCCATCTATTGAAATAGTATAAATATCATATTCATTTTTCTACTTTTTGATAGATTAATCACATAATACAAAATTTAAACATTATACAATAGCATTATGTCCTTCAAGTCTATATTTATTTTCTGTTTAAATGTTATATACAAAAACTGTAAAATCTTGAGATGATGTTCCTATATATTTGCTACAAGGTGAAAATATTATTGATGTTATTGCAATAGTTTATCCAGTTTATATTTTCCTAGGTTTTTACTAATATTCATTTTTTGTGTTGTCAAATTAATATAAATAAATTTAAAGACCATGAACTAAGGCTTAATATTAACCATTAATAGAAAATACACAAAAACTAATATTTTTCTACTATTTAATTATATTTAATTAGGAATTACAGGTATGCTTTTTTAAAATATTGTAATTTTATTCTAATTTAATATGAAATTGACAATCTAATATTTTATTTGCTTGCTATTATTATAATATGGTCACTAATCTATTAGGTTCAATTAATCCAATTTATTTATAGCACAATTATATAATTTCATCTATTAATTCTTATTCTTATTTTACTTTAAGTTCTGGTAGATAAATCATTGAAGCATATTAATGTTTTTATTCTTCATCTAAATTTTTTATAAATATATTATACCTGAACAAAAATTTGTTATATGATTTCTCAATAATTATATTGCTTCTTAAACATTATGTAATTTAAGTAATTTAATATATTTTTATTCTAATATTTTCAATATACATTTTTATTTTGTTTCTTTATCTACATATTGATTAAGGATCTATTCTAATTATATTATATCATAATTTTTTATTGATTAAGTAATCAATTCTAAATTTTAAGGATCTAGTTAGATTTAGGATTGTTCCTAAAGTTTCTAGAAAGTATTATCATATTTTAATTATCTTAAAAATTACAGAATTAGTTTTATTTTTTCTTCCTTATTATTCATTTAATATTTGATTAAAAAAAATTTCTTTTTTTAATTGACCATAAATAATGGATATCGTTGGAGTAAAGCATTGTTATTATCATAGAATGTATTGCCATAAGTTTTGAAAGACGAAGCTACTGAAGATAAAGGAGAGATGGCCAGATTGGTAAATTATTCATTATTAACATTCAAAGTAAAGCTTTGTAGGAGCAATTGCAGTTGCAGATCTAGTAAAAACAACCTTAGGACCAAAAGGAATGGTATTAGTTATGAATAAATTTAATAGGATAAAATATTAAAGCCAACAGGACCAGGTTAAGAAATGACTCATATTACTGTAACCAATGATGGTGCTACAATTCTAAAGTCAATGTATGTTGAGAATCCTGCAGCAAAGATTCTTATAGAGATCAGTAAGACCTAGGATGAGGAAGTAGGAGATGGAACAACAACAGTTGCAGTATTGGCAGGTGAATTATTGCGGGAAGGAGAAAAATTAATCTAAAAAAGAATTCATCCATAACATGTTATAGCTGGATGGAGAATTGCTAGAGATGTAGCCTTAAAAAGATTAAGAGATATTTGTAATGAATTATATATATTTGATTAGCTACTGAAAATGATATCAATTCATAAGAATTTCATGATGATTTAGTAAAAATAGCTAGAACAACATTAAGTTCAAAGTTAATAACTACAGATAGAGATTATTTTGCTGATTTATGTGTTAAAGCAGTACTTCGATTAAAAGGATCATCTAATTTGGATTATATTCAAATAATAAAACTTCCTGGAGGTACAATAAGAGATTCTTATTTGGATGATGGATTTATTTTAAAGAAATAGATTACTATAGGATGTAAGAGAAGAATTGAGAATGCAAAGATATTGGTTGCTAATACTGCTATGGATTATGATAAAATTAAAATATATGGAACAAAAGTTAAAGTTAATTCAATGGATAAAGTAGCAGAAATAGAAGCTGCTGAAAAGGAAAAAATGAAACATAAAGTTGATAAAATTCTTAAATATTAACCAACAGTATTTGTTAATAGATAATTGATTTATAATTATCCAGAATAATTATTAGCAGATTCTGGAATTACTGTTATAGAACATGCAGATTTTGAAGGAATGGAAAGAGTAGCTGCAGCAACAGGAGCAGAAATCTTATCAACATTTGATGCTCCTGAAAGATCATAATAAGTATTAGGTCATTGTGATTTGATTGAAGAAATTATGATTGGAGAAGAAAAAGTAATATATATATATATAATATATATTAGATGATTAAATTCACAGGATGTAAGAAAAATGAAGCATGTACTATTGTATTAAGAGGAGCTAGTACTCATATTTTGGATGAAGTTGATAGATCAATTCATGATGCATTATGTGTTTTAATTACTACAGTTAAAAATAAAAGAGTTGTTTGGGGTGGTGGAAATTCAGAAATGTAAATGGCAGCTGCTTGTGAAGAGGAAGCCAAAAAAGTATAAGGAAAATAAGCATTTGCAATTGAAGCATTTGCTAGAGCTCTAAGATAGATTCCAACCATTATTTGTGATAATGGAGGTATATATACTTATAGATTTGATTAAAGGTTATGACTCAGCTGAATTAATATAAAATTTCAAAGTTGAATTATAAAAAGGCAATTAAACATGTGGATTAAATATGATAGATGGAACAATTGGAAATATGAATGAATTAGGTGTTAAAGAATGTTTAAGAGTAAAAGAACAAGCATTAATGGCTGCAAGTGAAGCAGCTGAATTAATTATGAGAGTTGATAATATTGTTAAATGTGCACCAAGAAAAAGAGAAAGAGCATGAAGTTAAATATAAATAATACAAATATAAAAATCATAATTAGTTTTAATTTTCTTAAATTAGATTTCCACCTTCATTATTTGATTATTCTAATATAATTGATTATTATGATTATTATTTTTAAATTACTTAAGATTAAAAGCAAATCTCATCAACTTATATTATGTACATTATATATGGATGATAGAATTTTAATGATATTATGCAAAAAACACAAAACAAAAACAACAAAATTGGTAATAATAAATTAATCAAAAGTAGATATCCAATCCAATATCTATTGTTAATCTCTTTTTTAATATTCATAATTGGAAAATACTCAATCTCTGTTTTAAAATATATATAAGGATCAATATCTCTACTTTTCTTTAAAATTCCACTTAATTCATACAAATATTATTTATTATTCTCAAATTACCAATTTACTTAAAACAAACATTTATCATTATCATAATTAATACAAGTCTAATTTTCATTATTATCTATAATTTAACATTCTAAAATTGTTTCTGATTATTCATTTTTTATGTTTATTTTTGCATTACTTAAATATATATTTTTAACACATTCTTTATAATCTTTTGGTAATACTGTTATTTTTGCAAAAGTGTTATTAATAACCTATGTAACATCTATAAGCATTCTAATGTAATTTGTTTACTTAAACTCTTACTTTATAAATGTATCATAACTGTTTAATTATGAAAAAGTTTAATCAATCTAAATAATTGCTTCAAAGTTTAAAGTTTACTAAATTTATGATATCAAAGACATTTATATTAATTGATAATTTATTTTAATTAAAAATGGCAATTCATTTAATTAAATATGATTATTAGCCTAAATCATATAGTTTCCTTATATTATACTATTATTTAAATCTATTTATGATATTGATGATGGTAAAAGAATATTGTCTAAATATAATTTAAACCAACAAAATACAGACTATTTATCTTCAAATTTTGGGATTATTGTCTTATATTGTAAAGTTTTATTCTTGATTATCATTTCAAAATTTTAGTATAAATTATAATTAAAATTGCTATTATTATGAAATTAAGGAAGTTATCCTGTAAAAAGTACTTAATCTTTCGTATTAGTTTAAACTTTTGCTATATATATAAAAATTAAATTTAATGATACCGTTGAATTCAACCACAATTCAATTGAATTCATGCAAGTTAAAAAATGTTAATGCTAAATTTAAATAAATGATTAGCCAGTTATTTATATACTTAAATTATACATTTTGTAATCTATGAAAATAAATAGTTCATCATTAAAAAGTGGTCGATTAAAAATAAATGTATAATTGTAAATATTGTCTTCATATAAGGGTAGTTAATAATTATGATCTAAACAAATTCCTTAGCCTTTTTGGATGCTTATTTATTATTATCCTTCTACATCTACGAATTCAACTTACTCTTTTGTTTTACAATCAATCCATTATAATAATCTGAATTAAAAATTATCTAATGGGAAAACTAGATCTTCAATGCCTTCAGCAATAAAGTAGATACAGAAAAATAAAAATCCAATTGATCCTAACATTTTAATAAAATAAATTTTTATTTATTTCTATCTGATTATAAATTTAGATGCCAAATTATTAATCCTAAAATTGAAATTATCATCTTCATATCCTTTTTGTTGATAAAACAATAGAATAAATTTGATTATAAAATAATCAAGGTTTTTTGTATATTAAATTCCTAAATAATCATATATCTGATACCAAATTATTGTTAAAGTATATATTCACTTAAATTTCATTAGCAAAATAAAAATGATGAGTATATACATAAAAGCAAATATATAGCTAGTATAATACCAATAATTATTGTTTTGTTTGTGTTTTTTTCCTTTAATATAATTTAAATTAAAATGAATTAAAATGTTTTGAGTTTTTGCATCAAATTTTTTGAATAATTTTTGTTTAATTAAATAAATTACTAATTTAACTTCTAAAATTAAATTGAAAATGAATGAAAAATTGTTAAATAAATCTTAATTTAAGTTTATCAATAAACAATTTATACTCTAAAATTATCTCCTATTTATTATAATCTTATGTAAATCACTTCAAATAAATCAAAAATTGTAGTCATCTTATAATATTAAATTAATCATACTTGATTGTTTATTTCTAATTAAATTAAAAAATCATTAAATATTTATGGTGATACTTATTATTATTTTATTACTAATAATCTTAAAGAATATATTAAGTTTCTTTAAAATTAAATAGATTAAATGTGAATTATTATTAGTTTGATAACATAATATAGATAAATTAAATTAATATAGTACGTATAAATAAGGAATTAAATTAATGTATATTGAATAATTCTTTCATTTTATGAGCCTAAAATATTGAGTATTTATTTAAAAAAATAGATTTTATTCTTCTTTACATTGTTTATATATAAAAATATTTTACATATTAAAATATATTAAAATGAAAATAGATTAACAAAAACTAAATGTTTTTTATGATGAGATGTGTGGAATTTGTGATAAGTTAATAAAATTGATAGTTTATTTGATAAATCCTAACATTCTATCATTATATTCTTTATAGAATGCAATATAGGATGAGAAATTAAGAAAAGAATATGATTTAGATCTTTCATCAATTGTAGTGATAACATAAAATAAGAAACTAATAAAATCAAAAGCAATATTCTATTTACTTAAATAGACTAAATTAAAATATATAATTAAAGTGATTGAATTCATCATGCCATAGTGTTTGTCAGATTGGACTTATGATTTCATTGCAAAACATAGAGATAAAATTTGTAAGTTGAAGAGAAGATGATTGAATATTATTATTAAATAATCATATATTTAAATATCATTTCTCTGTTAATTCTCTATAACCTTTCCAATAATTAGGTGCTTTATTTCCATTAGAATGCAGAACTTCTAGTAGAGTATTGGAAGGTCCATCTTTATGTTCAGGTATCATAGACTAAAGAAATATAAATAACATCGATTACAAGAGTCTTAGTAAAGATAGGTAAAGCTTTCTCCCATTATCCATTAATATAATGTTAAAATCCCTGATCCCAATAATCATAGAACTCTTATATAAATGGAGCCCGTGCAAGTACTAATTCTTCATCAGTTTAAAAGAGATCAGCAATTTGAATTTAATTATTCTCAACTTTTTTAATTAATTGATTTCTTTAATATCTTTAAACAACTCTATATTTTTTTGCTTCTCTTTATGTTAATTTACTAATATCATATTTATCAATAGGTTATTTGATTCCTTTCAATAAAGATTTAATTGATAAATCAATGGTATAAATTTCTAGGAATAGAAAAATTTTTACTCATTGGTTCAATGCTTCCTTTGACAGTAACGATATCAATAAGTCGTAATTACTTTTAACAAGATTCAGTTAAATATTCTCTAAATATACCACTAATTAGTATTATTGAACCAAATTATTTAGTAGCTGCTTCTAATCTAGATGCCATATTTACATTTGGACTTAGATAAGAAGCATCAATCTTAAAAGATGAACCTATAGCTCCTTCAATACCCCAGCCCATATGTAAACNTATTGAATAATTCTTTCATTTTATGAGCCTAAAATATTGAGTATTTATTTAAAAAAATAGATTTTATTCTTCTTTACATTGTTTATATATAAAAATATTTTACATATTAAAATATATTAAAATGAAAATAGATTAACAAAAACTAAATGTTTTTTATGATGAGATGTGTGGAATTTGTGATAAGTTAATAAAATTGATAGTTTATTTGATAAATCCTAACATTCTATCATTATATTCTTTATAGAATGCAATATAGGATGAGAAATTAAGAAAAGAATATGATTTAGATCTTTCATCAATTGTAGTGATAACATAAAATAAGAAACTAATAAAATCAAAAGCAATATTCTATTTACTTAAATAGACTAAATTAAAATATATAATTAAAGTGATTGAATTCATCATGCCATAGTGTTTGTCAGATTGGACTTATGATTTCATTGCAAAACATAGAGATAAAATTTGTAAGTTGAAGAGAAGATGATTGAATATTATTATTAAATAATCATATATTTAAATATCATTTCTCTGTTAATTCTCTATAACCTTTCCAATAATTAGGTGCTTTATTTCCATTAGAATGCAGAACTTCTAGTAGAGTATTGGAAGGTCCATCTTTATGTTCAGGTATCATAGACTAAAGAAATATAAATAACATCGATTACAAGAGTCTTAGTAAAGATAGGTAAAGCTTTCTCCCATTATCCATTAATATAATGTTAAAATCCCTGATCCCAATAATCATAGAACTCTTATATAAATGGAGCCCGTGCAAGTACTAATTCTTCATCAGTTTAAAAGAGATCAGCAATTTGAATTTAATTATTCTCAACTTTTTTAATTAATTGATTTCTTTAATATCTTTAAACAACTCTATATTTTTTTGCTTCTCTTTATGTTAATTTACTAATATCATATTTATCAATAGGTTATTTGATTCCTTTCAATAAAGATTTAATTGATAAATCAATGGTATAAATTTCTAGGAATAGAAAAATTTTTACTCATTGGTTCAATGCTTCCTTTGACAGTAACGATATCAATAAGTCGTAATTACTTTTAACAAGATTCAGTTAAATATTCTCTAAATATACCACTAATTAGTATTATTGAACCAAATTATTTAGTAGCTGCTTCTAATCTAGATGCCATATTTACATTTGGACTTAGATAAGAAGCATCAATCTTAAAAGATGAACCTATAGCTCCTTCAATACCCCAGCCCATATGTAAACCAAACCCCATTTTTACTGAATATTCTTTCATTCTTGCATTTAAACCAGGATGCTTTTTATATTTTTCCAATTTTTTTGAAATAGAAACTGAAGTAATAATTTTAAGGAAAGCTAAGACTGCCATATCTCCTTTTTATTTGATTAATTTTGTATCTTTTAATATTAATTTTTAATGATTAGTTGGATCAGGATGATAATCAAATTAATCATATTTCCAAACTAAAAGAAAAGCATCTCCTATATTTTTATTTGCAGATCCACTAAAACTATTGACAGCTGAATGAACAATTTCTGCAATTTCATTAACAAATACCATGACATCTTATTATAAAACTTCAGTTGCATCAGTAAAATTTCTAATATCACAAAATCCAAAGATTGCCATTATTTTTTTACCTGGAATCATTGGATCAACACTACCTCCCTTTTTAATATTTTCTGCTATAATCTCAGATCCTGCTTCTCCAAATCCTACTGCTAATAAAGCACCTACTTTCATTATTAAACGTTATAATATATAGGTTTCCATAGTTCTCATAATTTCCTTTTCTTTTAATTTTTTGTGATCTTAACTTTTTTCTAATTCTTCAATTACTAAATCTTCTTATTCTTCAATATTCACAGCCTCTAAGGGATTAGCTGCAATTAATTCTATTTATTTCATCATTGTTTCTATAGGTTCAATAACTAAATCTTCAACATCTTTATTAAAAAGTAACGCACTTAACGCTAAAACTATACAAACAAAAATGGTTTAAAATATTGATAGAATTGAATTAGTCTAATTATATGATATAAGATCTGCAGCAGAATATGCTAATAGAGTTCCATTTTAAGAAGTTTAAATATAATATTGAAGATCTGTAAATCTATATTAATCTGGTGATAATGATGTATATTCAAAATAATCTGGATATTTTTAATAATTATAATTAACCCAAGATCCATTTACAAGAATATTTACTGCTTGTATTGGATAGATTTATCCTTTATGAAATTCTGCATATTATTTAATGAGGATTTCTTTTACATTCTATTAATCCTTAAATTATGATATTCTAAAAATGCCTGAATCATAACTATTGATATTCTCTTAATATGTATCAAAACTGATCAATGGTATACTAATTAGTACTGCTAAAATGATAGTAATCACTCTCCTCATTACTAAATCTGATAATTATTAACCAACATTTGATTCTTTTGTGTCAATCTCTCCATTTATTGAACTCTCACCTTAAGAATTAGTCTATTAACCAGATTTTCCAGGAGTTGATTTACTTGGAGATTTACTAAATTGATTATTTGATCCTTCACTTCCATCCTAACTTGAATTTGGTTTTTAGATTTGTTAATTAATTGGAATAGAATTTCCACTCATTTAACTTTAATTTAATTAATTGCTTTTAATTTTCCCACTTTCTATTACAGATTATGGATTTTAAATTTGTAATACTTAATCTTCCTCATTAACGGCTTAAAAAATAATATATAAATATTACGTTACTAATTATTTTATGATTAGGACATTTATTATTAAGATTACTATCTAATTTATTATTAGTTTTAAATTTATGATTATTATTATTAAGATTCTTAAATTATTTATTATTATTTTTATTATTATTTCATTTTTTCTTCTTGAGATATTTAAGCCTATCTTAATAACTATCTCAAAAGTGCCTTTTATTGTTATTACTATATTTATTATCTTGCATGTTTATATAATTTAACCAATCTTACTAATCTTATAACTCTTATGACTCTTGCTGCCTTTCTTGCAACTTTAGATGCAGAACCGATTGTTTTAATTGAGGCAGCATTAGTTACATCTCCAGAATACCATTCATCAGTTATCCATCCAATATCTAAAAACATGGTTGCTGTTGATATTACATCTAACCAAAAGTAAAACTATATATAGAATTATTATTATATACATTGCAAAAATATTCATGTTTACAAATACATGTAAATATTATCTCTAAAGTAAAGCTAACCATACATAAAATAGTTAAAACAAAAAATGCATCATCTCCATCTTTATTCACAGTTAAGATTCTTATATCATCCCCAAATAAAGCATAAAGGGTTACTAATGCCATTAATATTGAAAAAGGAAGACTTTCTACAACATGAGAAATTTTAGTAGTAATGCTTGTATTTAAGGCTCTAGGTAATATAACTGATTGTCTGGCCTTTATTTTACTATTCATTCTTCTTATCGTTTTTTTAGACACTAGAATCATATTTTAAAATCACTTACTAAATTGTCTTTGTTACCCTGATTTATTTTGACTTGATCTACCATCTTAATCAGATTCCATATTTTATGAACTCATTTATCTATTCTTCTTCTAAGAAATTTCATCAATTTCATCATTCTCTTAATCTTAACTACTCAATTTCTTTTGAACTATAGGTAAACATAAAGGCTTGTCTGTAAACTACAAATATTGAATTATATTACTAATTAAGCTGTATTCCCTCTTTATAGCTCTGAATTTATAGGTTAATCTACAACTTGTTATTCAATTGGTTCCTAATAAAATTGCAAATGTACTTGCTTAACCTCAGCTAACTATTTATTAAAATTATCAACAACTTGAAGTGGAAGAAAGTTTTATTCTGTATCTCGAAAAGTTAAGTTGTTGTTAACAATATTTGTATACCTTTCAGACATTCGATCAGAATCCATCATTTTATATTATAATCAAAAAACAAGATATTAACTTGATTTGAATTCATAAATCAAATCCTTTTAATAAGAAAGTTCGTCATCATTAATACAATTATTATACCATTATAAATTAATTTAATTAAAAAATTTTATTATATATTAATTTTACATATAATTATAGAATTGCATTGTAAATAATAGATATAATTATTATCTTCAATTCTATAGAAATTTCATTGAGTAAAATTAAATTAAATGATTATGATATTACAAAGAATTAAGTTATTTGATAAAGATTCTAAATATAGTATTTAAAATAAATATTCTCAAGAAAAAACATATTTTTAATTAATCTTTGGATGAAATGTACATTATTCTCTTTCTTTTTATATTGCTTCTTCCTCTAATTATCTTTTATTCATATTATTTTATTAAGTAATATTAAAAGGTTCTGGTTTAGTCTTTTCTAAATGATTCTTAAAATCATATTTTAATTCATAATGAAAAAGTTCTTTTTCTCTTTCTATTTGTTGATTAGCTTTTCTTTTTAAGTTTTCTTTATTTTAAAAGAAATTTTCAATTCCTTTAACTTTTTAGATTAATGGTTCTTCATCTTTCTAAAATTATTTTGTTATTGGTTTAAAAGTACATTCCTTTAATTCTTAATATTACATTTATCTAAAATAAATAATATTTTTACTTTTTTAAATCTTGAATTTTTCTTTCTTTAAGTTCTTTTTCAATTTCCATATTTTATTTAATTAACTTTTTATCATATTTTGATTTGACATGTTAATATTACTATGATTTTTTAGTTTAGGGATAATAACTAAAAGATTATTTAGATTCTTATTCCTAAAGAATTAACAATAATTAAATTACTTCTTTTAATCTATTTAATTTTTCTTATCTTTCTGGATTATAGGCTAAATCATCTAGAGATCTTTTTTATGCAATAATAGAAGAAATATGATTAATTTAAGGTTTAAAAGTGTATTATTGATAATATGCTTATTAAATTTATTCTTTTAATATTTAATTTTTTTCATAATCTTTGACTCCAAGACGATTAATCTTATCAGACATATTTTCTTAAATTCTTTCTTCATTACTTTCCATAATTAATTCACTTGTTTTATTAATTTAAGGTTTGAAAGTAATATCAGAATTTTTAATAAATTCTTGAATAAGTTTTTCTTTTTTTTCTCTCATAAAATCAGCCATCAAATATTAAGTTTAACAAATTTAATTAATTTATTATACTGGTTTAGTTGTTGGATTGATTTATGGATTGAAAGTACATTCATCTTTTTCTTATATTTCATTCTTTTAATTTATTTTTTTTTATAATTTAATAGCTGCATCTTCCATTAATCTTTCAACAACAGACTTTGATGTTTATTTTTATTCTGCTATTTATATTGATCTTTATGAAATTTTAGGTTAATATGTAACATCAGATTATTATTATAATACCTATTATTTTAATAATAATTCATCTTATTTTTTCTTCATTACTTCATCAATTCTTTCATATAATGGTTTCATAAATTATTTTTCACCTTTTAATACATTATTAATTTAACTAATATCTGGTTTAAAAGAAAACTATTCTGAATTAATATGATCAAATTTTAATTATTCTTTTCTTTTTTTTTATTGAATACCATCTTAATATAATCTTTCAGCTACTGGTTAATCTGTGTTTCTTCTTGATGCAATATCACTAATTATTGGTTTAAATGTACAATGTTATTCTACCAATTCATCAATATATTTTCTTTTTTCATTTTCCCTCTATTCTAATTAATTTCTTTTATCTTCCAATAATCTATTCCAAACTTCTTCTTTTGAATATTCTAATATTTTTTTTTATTGTTATCTAGGCATATCATAAGATTTAGGTTAACAACAAGGTCTTTTAATTTTTGGACTGTAAGTTGAATTAAATTCTTCCATCAATTTATTCAAATAAGTTTTCTATTATTCTCCATCCTCATATTATTCTTCATGAGGTTCAGAAATATATTATTCTCTATGATCAGATTAACTTCTTTGAATTCTCATCATATATTCATGATTAAATTCTTTATTCTTTTCTAATTATTACTATAGTTTTTAGGCAGTTAATTCAAGTGTTTAACTTTACATTTTTGACTCCTTTTTACTGCTACTTAAAATCAAATCATCCCAATATTGGGGAGATTATTATTCAATCATCATAACGAATTTTGAATTAAATAAATAAAATAATGCAACCTGATTTAGAGCATAAAGGGTTTCTTAAAAAAATGGAAAAATAAATCAATAATAAATAAAAATTAGTACCAGTCTTTGCTAAAAACCCATTTAAACCTGCAGCTCGTTTAATGTATGGTTCTAAGAGATATACCAATGTTATAAAATTCAATAGTTGTTAAAAATATGATAATTTGATTGACAAACATATTGATTCTTAAGCTCGAAATAAAAATAAATTGTTATAATATGAAATCAAAAATCCTCATTAGGATGCAATAAAAAAGATTCTCTAAAAATTAGAATAGAGAACATTTAAAAAGTATTGCAAAATTATTATTAAAGCTAGGAATATGAAACTGGATTATTTACAGAAATTATACAAAATAGAAGATTTAAAAATCTAATCTCAACTGAATAATAGACTATTGATTAATCTACTATTGATTATAGTAAATGTTCCTTTAAATTACCTCGATTAAATCAATCTTATGATTTAGTAAAGTGTCATAATGAATCTAGTGATAGTAAAATCTCATAATTGTTGAATACTTGTCATGAAGAGAAATCCACATTATCTAATATAGATTCAATATTAATTAACAATCATAAAAAATAAAGAAGACATCTAGGAGCATTAAAATAATATGTAAATATTTTAAGTCTTGATATTTGATTATTATTATATTATATTATAAATGATTCACGGTCCCAATTCCCCATTCTCAGGAGCATTTACTATTGGTAAACGATATGAATGTATAATCTATATCTATTCCTTAGCTGCCATATACTAAACTAATCCATACCCAGGGTAATGTATGCTATTCACATAGTCCAAATCACTATTCTATTAATCCAATTGATAAACCCATAGGATTCAGATTCTCTAAATCAAATAGAAAACCCTTATATTAACCTAGTAAAGCACCAGATCCAGGAGCATATGATCTTAAATATTAAGTATTCAATAATATAACTTAATTAGACAATTTCCTAAAATGCCCCTTCTGCTATTTTTGCAACTGCAAAAGATCACTAATAAAGAGGATTAGAAATTGGTCCTGGATCATATAATTGGACAGATTAAAAAAAGGCTCCAGCATTTACCTTTCAAAGCAAATTCGATTCTATCGGTAATCAGATACTATAAAATCCTGGTCCAGGAACTTATGACATTAAGCATTATCATACTCATTAACCTTAAAATAAGGGATTGACAACAAGCAAGAGAGTTAATCATTTAACATAAAGTACTCCAGGACCAGGATAATATGATGTTGAAAAACCTTCATTTTCAACTAACATTAAGTATATTATGATATCTAACAGATTCCCTAAATCATAAAGAAGTTTTGAATTAAGTCAAATTGGACCTGGTCCAGGAGCATTTGATTTGAATTTGCCAAAACAATAAGGGATAACATTTGGAGTTAAAGCAAATCAACACATTGAAAAATCTAATGTTCCAGGTCCTGGTAGTTACAAATTAAAATCATTTGTTGAATATGATGAAAGAGATTTAAAATAAAACAAAATAAAAGGAGTCAAGTATAAATAATTCAGTTAAAATTAGAATTGGTACTTCACAAAGAAGTAGTCAAAATTTACTAAAATTTGGTCCATCTCCATTAGATTATGATGTTTAAAAATATAAACATCCTACTAGACATGCTAGGTAAAAAAAGAGAATTCATATACTCTTAGTTTTGGAAGTGCAGTCAGATAATCAATTATTCCAAATTAAATAACCCCTGGTCCTGGAGAATATATATTTGATTCAAAACTTAGTAGAAATGGCCCTGTAATTTCAAAAGCATCTAAGGATTTCAGTTCTTTAGATAATACTCCTGTAAATTCTAAAATTAATAATAAAGGGTCCTGGAAAGTACAATCCTAACATATCAATTTCATCTAATAAGGGACCAAGTTATCATATAGCTGGCAAATATGATAAACCATAAGAAAAAAGTTTAGTTGGACCTGGAAGATATAATATTTCAAGAAATATTAATGATGGTCCCAAATATACATTTCCAACCTTAGAAAAAAGTATGGATAATAAATCTTTAGATGTTAATTAGTAATTTGCTTTAAATTTATCATACTAGATCGCATTGCTATGAGATTTAGTAAACTATTGGGTATATACCTCCATATAACTTACATCATTGAATAAAATCAAAACGGATTAATTTATTATAAAATTATGAAAATTATTGTCTTAATATTCTTGTTAGGTGCCTTTGCTTCAAACATCAGACATAAAAAGGAGAGGTTTTTTATTATTCTTATCATTTAGACACAATGATTCATAGACTTTATCACATCAATAATAAAATACAAAAGGTATTGAACAATAAATAAATATATTTAGAATTATTACAAGTCACTGATATAGATAATGAATCTTAGACATTAGTTGAGGAAACACTCAATCAATAATAAAATCTAGAAGAACCCAAACCATTATATAATAATGATGGTAGATCACCAGATATGGGAATGAATTAAATAGATAATAATGATGCCCCTGAAGCTCCAATGATGGCAGATAATGTTTTAGATTATTCAGCTCAAGAGGAAGTGATTAAAGGTGTTTCACTTATATAAGTTGGAGAAATTGATGCATTAGCTGATATTGATACTAGTATGCCATTATTAGATGAGGATTTCAAATATGATGAATAAGCCCTTTAAGAAACTCCTTTAAACATTGACATTATTGAAGAAGTACCACAATAACAAGATTAAGAAATTAATTAAATTGATGACTAATTATAATAAGAAGTCCAATTAGAAGATTAATAAGATTAATTGATAAATGAGGTTTAATTACTCTAAATTGGAGGATTCTATTATTGATTTATTCAAAAAATAAATATAATATTAAATTAAGCTATTCATAAATATTATCAATTATTAAATACATTATTCTATTCTAAAATAAATTAAAATATCTTTAATTTTATCAATAAATGAATAGAATTTACAAATATTTAATACAATAGTGAAAATGATATAACATTAGCATTTAAATTTTTAAATATTATCCCTAGAGATTAATAAAATAATAAATAAATTTAAACCATAATGCTGGTGATAAATATTTGATAAAAACTTTAAAATTTTAGTACATCCTTTTTATTTATATATAACTACAATTAATAACTATAATTCTATTTTATAATGATAGTTATGGCATTGTAAAAGATCATTTGATCTGTCTATATTAATCTAAAAAAATTAATATATTTTAATTTTGTTAAGAATATATTGTGAACTCTAATATATATAATAAATAAATTAACTGCAAATCAAATGAATTACGAAGCATTACTTGAGGAACTGGGATTGGATGGTACTCCATAAAAATAAACAAGCAAATCACCATAGAATAATACTAGAGCAAGTGATAATATTTACCTTACAAAAACACCTGAAACTTAATAAAGAAAAATAAAATTAATATTAAATGTAAATCTGAGTTCAAATCAAGTGGAATAGTTAATGATTTATTAAGATGATGATCCAAAGTTGAAAGTATCAGAATTTTGTCATTTGCACTAATTAGACAAGAATGCATAAAGTGTATTAATAAAATAGATCAACAGCAATACAAACAATGAAAATTATCAAAGTTAACATAAATTACAATAGTAAAATTATTATTCTAAACAATTGCAATCATATTCAACAAAAGAGTCAGAATAACCAGGAGAGAGACTCTATTAATTGGCTTAGAAGAAAAAGGAATAAAGAGAAAATCAAATAAAATAGTATTAAACAGAAAAATAAGAATAAGAATAACAGCAATTATAATCAACTCCTAAATTAAGCAAATAAACAAAAATATATTTGGTATTTAGTAATCCATTGACTTATTTAAGGAATAAGCTGGGTATCGTAAAAATGGTTATATGAGAGAGAAAGGAACTCTAAAGGACAAGCAAATTTAATAGGTATTTTTGGATGAATAAGGAAAAGAATATAATTTTGTACCTTAGATAAATGAATTGTATTATATTTATAATATTGATAGATCAAAATAAATGAGTCATTATATTAGAGAGAAATAACATTATGAAAACGTATTTGATGAATTATATGAATAAGCAAGAAATAGAATGTATTCTTAACCAGAATAAGATATTCCTGAATGTACTTTCAAGCCTTCAGTAAATTAGAATATTAAGATTGATGAAGATTTTTTAACAAGAATGGAGAAAAAGTAGGAAGAATTGAAAGAAAGAAGAGAATTAATTAAAATGAAGTATGAAAACGTTGATTTAAAAACTCGGCAATTATTATATCGACCTAAAATATGTAGAAGTCCTTATGCTTAAACATCATCAGAAAAACGTATATGAATAGATTAAATCATAAGCCATTCATGAGAAGCTTTATTTATAGTCCAAGTTAAAGTCTGAAAAATTACAGTAAATGTCTGAATAAAAAATTATGGAAGAAAAGGAATCTTAAAATGTGAGATTTAAAAATGAATTGTCAGAAGATATAGTATTTCTATAAAGAAAAAAGATTCTCAAATAATTATTTGTTGAAATGGATACAAATTAAGATGGTTTAATATAATGTTCATATGAGGAAATTAATAATTTATCTCCTAATATTATCTAAACTCTTTGGCCTATATTTAAATTGTTATAAGAGTTAAAAAGATATTTAGATTTTAATGACTTTTTTGAAAATGTCTATGAATATTGTGTCAATCTACCTTAAATCTAAAAAGATATCATTTTCAAGAAGTCAAAGAATAACAATCCTACTATGAAAGATTAAGATTATTCATTCACTCCAAAAACTAATAAAAAATCCAACTCAATGAATACAATGCATTATCCTAGTTGTAAATGTGAAATGTGTTCATAAATTGCTAATATATAAAGACAATTAAATGATTAATGAATAATATATATATATATATAACAATATTTACATTAAGTCTGAAATTTAATAAAAAAAGTAAATTCCTATGTACATATTAAGTAATTATTTTACATAAAATCATATTTAGAATAATAGAAGTTTCATAAAATATATTACATGAAGATCAATTCAAGTAATTAATATTATTTTTGTTTTAAATTAGAAATTGAGGATTAAAATTCTTATATTCAATATTTTTAATGTATTTTTATATATTGTTTATTTTCATTCAATCTCATTGTTTTGAATTGTTCATTGAAAAAGATAAATAATATTTGATAGCAGATGATGATAAAATTGATAATCGATTTAAACAAGAGTCTTTAGAACAAACCTAATGTCATCCTGCAAAATTGTATTTAGAAAATCAAAATTAAAAACATACTAAATTTGTATTCCACAACAATCAATAAAAACAGATAACTATTAAAATGCATCCTTTAATCTTTGATACAGATGTCCTTAACATTTTGTAAAATTCAAAAAGAGAACCATATTAAATATAATCAAATTAGCAAGAATAATTTATAATCACATATGAATGCATAGCATAAAATGATTAAATTTCATGGAGTTTAATAATATTAGATTTTACAGTATTCTAAAATCAGAATAATTCTCAATCTTACTAAATTTATTTCTATAAATAATGCCAACCAACTGAATAATATTTGCATCCATTAATAATGTTATTAATTTTAGCAATAACTTTACTAATAATAGGAACAAATTATGGATTATAAGAAATGAAATTGATTGAATCAATAAAGACTGAAGAATTTAATACAAAAACATCAGTGTTATTTATTTTATCTGCAAGTGTTTTGTTAGTTTGTCTATATAAATTTCCATCAATTGGATAAATGTAAAATAGTATATAAGCTTTAGAGTATTGAGTATAGTGATATTCTTTATGGCAATTTTGAGTATTTAAATAATATTATAAGATTAATTGGAAAAGATATTTAGAAAATAAAAATTTTAATGGTGTATTTCATATTTCATTAGTTTCCTTATTGTATTGTCATATTTTTATACTAAACATTGGATAATCAACAATTTAATAGCATTTCTAATTACACTTTTGATGTTTAAAGTAAAGATAGTAATTAATTTAGATAATCGAAATTGATAGTTTTAAGACATCGACATTATTATTGAGTTTAGCCTTCTTTTATGATATATTTTGGGTTTTTATAAGTCCTGTATTTTTTGGAACATCTGTTATGGCATAAGTAGCCACATCTATAGACTTGCCAATGAAATTTATAATTCCTCCATTGATGATATCATATAATTCTCCTTTAATGAAATGTTCTATACTTGGTTTAGGTGATATTCTATTGCCAGGTATAGTGATTAAGTACATTCTTAAATTTGAAAACTTGGTAAACAAAGGGTATTGTATGTATATTACCTCTATAATTGGATATTGTTTTGGTTTATTAGTTTGTATGTTTTCGTTAGTGATATATTAATAAGCATAACCAGCTTTATTATATTTAGTTCCTATGATATTGATACCTGTGTTTATAATTAGTTTGATAAGAAATTAGTTTTATTCTTTGTGGAAAGGATAGATATTCAAATAGGAGAAATCAGCTGGAATTTACGAGTTGTAATAGAGTGAATAAGTTTGATTTTTATAAACCAATGTATGAATAATAGGAAATAAAAATGTTATTTTTTAATTCTAGAATAAAAATTTGTTATTTTAGACTACAATTGGAAAAATTATAAAGTTCTGTTTTATTTTAAAAATAAAATTAATCAAAAATTAAATTATTATTTTTATTCTTAATTAAATTTTATTCTAAAATTTACACAAATTAGAAATTATAAAGATTTTAAACCGAGTTAAATATTTAATACAAGAAATATGTTGAGAAAAAAGATGATTTATTTCTTTAATTCTTAATTTTTGGAAAATGATAAAATAATACATAAACAATTTGTTAAATAAAATAAATATAGCAAAGATATCAATTTTAATAGAATTAAGAAGAATATAAAATTAGCTCTAATATGAAAGAAACTATTCATAAAAACAATGAAATCAAATCAATTATTTAAATAAGAAAATTAAAATGCATTATTAAACATAAAAAATGGTAAATTTCATATAGTGAACAAGTATAGTAAGAAAAAGAATTTTATATATAAATCATAAATTACTTAATTCTAGGATAAATCATTTATTGTCTTTATTATGAAAAAATATTATTTAAACAAACAATAAACATGTATCCTTAATTTTATAATATCTGCATTTAAATTTCATAATCAATTAAAATAATAGGTTAATAAATTATGAAGATTATTTCAAATATCGACAGTCCAAGGATCTAATGAGTCTTCTATAAATGATTGTATTTGAAATCGAGGCTATCTTTCAATTTAATTGACTTTTGGTTTGTGATATTTTTCCAAATAAGTTCTTTTTAATCTCTAAAAATCAGAATTTTCTGAAGAATCATCAGCATTCGAGCTATTTTATACGATATTGTTAATCATTGATTGCTTTGATAAATTCTTTTATAAATTTGGTTCATTAATGGATTATGATCTAATTTTTATTGTCTTCTTTATAAAAATAGGTTGTAATAATTGTATTGATGTATTTATTGATTAACTTTCATGCTCAAAAATATTTTTGGTCTTCTTTTTATATAACTTATTTGCATAAATAGGTATTTTAAATTATTTTTAAATGCTATAAGTAAAAGATGAATCTGGAGTTTTTTTACCGAAAGTATTGACATTAAATGTTTGATAGCTTCTTCGGAAGGGCTCTCTTAAGGGGAATTTCTTATATATTAACAAAGATTTTAAATTCTGATCAGCTTAAATCATATGAATAATAATAATAAATCAAAAATAAAGTTACTACTTATTTTTAGAGTCAGGTTTGGATTTGTTATTAGTAAATGTTTATTTAAGAAGATTTTCAAANTCAAATAGGAGAAATCAGCTGGAATTTACGAGTTGTAATAGAGTGAATAAGTTTGATTTTTATAAACCAATGTATGAATAATAGGAAATAAAAATGTTATTTTTTAATTCTAGAATAAAAATTTGTTATTTTAGACTACAATTGGAAAAATTATAAAGTTCTGTTTTATTTTAAAAATAAAATTAATCAAAAATTAAATTATTATTTTTATTCTTAATTAAATTTTATTCTAAAATTTACACAAATTAGAAATTATAAAGATTTTAAACCGAGTTAAATATTTAATACAAGAAATATGTTGAGAAAAAAGATGATTTATTTCTTTAATTCTTAATTTTTGGAAAATGATAAAATAATACATAAACAATTTGTTAAATAAAATAAATATAGCAAAGATATCAATTTTAATAGAATTAAGAAGAATATAAAATTAGCTCTAATATGAAAGAAACTATTCATAAAAACAATGAAATCAAATCAATTATTTAAATAAGAAAATTAAAATGCATTATTAAACATAAAAAATGGTAAATTTCATATAGTGAACAAGTATAGTAAGAAAAAGAATTTTATATATAAATCATAAATTACTTAATTCTAGGATAAATCATTTATTGTCTTTATTATGAAAAAATATTATTTAAACAAACAATAAACATGTATCCTTAATTTTATAATATCTGCATTTAAATTTCATAATCAATTAAAATAATAGGTTAATAAATTATGAAGATTATTTCAAATATCGACAGTCCAAGGATCTAATGAGTCTTCTATAAATGATTGTATTTGAAATCGAGGCTATCTTTCAATTTAATTGACTTTTGGTTTGTGATATTTTTCCAAATAAGTTCTTTTTAATCTCTAAAAATCAGAATTTTCTGAAGAATCATCAGCATTCGAGCTATTTTATACGATATTGTTAATCATTGATTGCTTTGATAAATTCTTTTATAAATTTGGTTCATTAATGGATTATGATCTAATTTTTATTGTCTTCTTTATAAAAATAGGTTGTAATAATTGTATTGATGTATTTATTGATTAACTTTCATGCTCAAAAATATTTTTGGTCTTCTTTTTATATAACTTATTTGCATAAATAGGTATTTTAAATTATTTTTAAATGCTATAAGTAAAAGATGAATCTGGAGTTTTTTTACCGAAAGTATTGACATTAAATGTTTGATAGCTTCTTCGGAAGGGCTCTCTTAAGGGGAATTTCTTATATATTAACAAAGATTTTAAATTCTGATCAGCTTAAATCATATGAATAATAATAATAAATCAAAAATAAAGTTACTACTTATTTTTAGAGTCAGGTTTGGATTTGTTATTAGTAAATGTTTATTTAAGAAGATTTTCAAAATTAGTTTGTAACTAAAGATTCATTAAGCCTTATTTATTGAATTAAGTTTTTTTTACAAGGTTTTCTAAGGTAGATTTAGCTAATTATATATTTTTGTCTTTATCTCCACTTTTTGAATAATAAAATTAGCAAGAAAATATAGATTAGAATGATGCATTCAGTTTTTATTCTCTTTAAATCTATTCCAAAAATTATTAATCATTTTAATTCACTGATTTTATGTTTAACTTTTGTAGATCTGGTATATAAGGTGGTTTGACACTCTTATTTATAAATTAAACTATATCTATATTTTTAAACCATTTATGTTAAAGTATCTCATCAATTCCATTCTTGGCTCCTAATCTCTTAGAAGGATCTTTTATCATTAATTGTCTTATCAAATCTTTAATATCTGAACTTAAATATTCTGGGAATTCTACCTATTCTTTAAGTAATCTTTTATATATAATATTTTTATCATCAGCATAAAAAGGTGGTAGACCTGTGACAAATTCATATAATAGACATCCTAAACAATAATAATCTACTAATTAAGTATGTCCAGAGTTCTAAAACATTTCAGGTGCCATATATTCAGGTGAACCGCAAAAAGAATAAGCACAACTATCTTTATTCATATTAGGTCTAGCTAAACCAAAATCAGCAAGTTAAATATGACCTGTTGAATCAATTAAAATATTTTCAGGCTTTATATCCCTATAAATAATCTGTTCATTATGTAAAAACCCAATTGCCAAAATAACTTCTATTATATAAAATCTTGCCTATTATTCTGATAATTTTTATGACTTTTTAATAAGGTTGAACATTTCACCACCAGGACAATAATCTATACAAAACACTATCCAATTTTTGGTTTCAAATGCATACTCTATTCGATTTGTGAAAATGGCCCCTCTATAAGTTGTTTATATTAAAATATCTCTTTCATTTTAGATTAAATCCTATTTTTAATGTTATTAAATAAATTGTTTATTAATTAATTTCAGCGCTACAAATTAACCATTTATTAATGATCTTGCTAGTACTACAGTTGAAAATCCTCCTCTTCCAATTACTGATATAAATTAAAATGAATTTAAGTTGATTCTATTTTGAATTTTATTAATTATAGGTTTTAATCTAATGGTTTTATTCACAAAGGATTCCATTGATAAGTTTGGTAATGACAAATAATAGTCTAGTTAAATATTATCATCTAAAGATTAAAAACCAATTATTTCATTATTATTAACTTTTAATTTTAGCATGCTAATTAATTTATCAGTAGATATATTTGAGGCAAATCTATAATTTTAAACTTAATCCTGTCCTATATGAAGATTAATTGATATTTCTTAAGTAGTGATTTTGTCTTGAGAAGAAGATTTTGCAATCCCGGTATATTTTGATGAAGAAATTAGTTCTTCCATGCTATTTCTTCTTGTCATAGACCCTAAAGCAGGTTTTAACTATTAAGTATTTTAATTTTGAGGGTTTTTATTTTTCTAAGTTAAAAGTAGATTAACTCCTCTAGTTAATTGAAAAAAATTATCAGTAGGTATTCTGAGCTACTTAATATTAGATCCAACCCTGTCTTTTGATATAGATTTTTAAGATTTTTGTAAGCTATTAACTCTTTCTGTCAAACTGCCATTATTAGTTTTTGTCATATAGTTTGATTTAACAACAAAATCTTCTATTAGTCCTTGAGAAATTTTTCTATTAGGAAAACGTTGAGGAGAGATCAAAGCATTTTTAGAACTAAAGGGCTTACCCTAAAGAGGAATCCTAGTAGGAGAAACTAGAATATGATGTTGCATATAAAAAATTAATGTAATTGAATTTATTTTTTTTCCATGGAAATACACAAGATTTATATATATATATAGAGGGATTCGATTAAGTCTTGGTTTATTTATGAAATAATACATAAGATGCTATTTCTAATAATTGATATTTAGGTGTACAGATCAAGTCAGCTATTTGGCAAATACAAAGTATGATATTCAATTAAGATTTAGTTGAATGTGATTTATGCCAAAAAGATATCAATTCCAGCTGTTCTGATTCATGACTAAGCTGATGATATCATAAACTATATTTAAATCCATGTAATACATGATAAGTATTATAGATTTATAGAATAGTTGTTTCTCAATTATAAAGTCAATATATTTCCAAATATTATGCAAAAGAATTTGATTGACAAATTTGCAGGCCATTACAATGTTTCTTTAATTTAGGAGTAAATAAATGATCTAATATTATAATTTAATTTATGAGTTAGAAAAGATAGGATGGCAGAAATCTCTTGTAAATGAGAAATATTGAATTTAAACTTGCCATTGATCTCTCTGTTGATGGGTCTTGCTTATATAAATAAGGATTAACTGAAGTGATTTGTTTAGTATAGGGGCCAAGAGCTGTAAATAATATTTTCATATCAGAAAACATAATCAGAATTACTACTTATTGAATACTCTGTTTCACCTTTTAGCAACATAGAATCAAAAAGGAATTCTAAATTTGATAAAGATTATTCAATGTTTGCTGAAAATCTTAAAGAGTCTTTTGAAAATCTCATCATCTTAGATGAAAATGGTAAATCAGAAATCTCAATTTCAGTCTGTGTTATTTAAAATGATGGTAGTTCTAAAAGTGCTGTTTTCAATGCAATCACTTTGGCATTATTAGATGCTGGTGTTTCTATGAAGGATTTTCTAGTATCAGTTACAGTTGGTCTAGATCAAGGCAACTTAATTGTAGATCTAATTTAAGAAGAAAGTAAAACAGCTCAAGGAGAACTTACAATATCCTATTAATCAAGAAAACAAAAAATAGATTTCTATGAATTAAAAACATTAAAATTATAATAGCAAGAAATGGATTAATTAAGCAAATTAGCAGTATCTAAGGCAGATGAAATTTATCAATGGATGAAAGAAGAAATATATTAAATCAAAGAAAAATAAATAGATTAATGAAAATTTGTGTATAATATATCATTAAATATAATTATCATGCCATATGCAATTTCAAGTTCAAATCCTGATATCAAACAAAGACTTGAAAATTAGTGATTTTAACCCTTCAGATACAGGTCATCGCTCAATTATGCTAATCCTCATACTCTCNTTTTTGTAAGCTATTAACTCTTTCTGTCAAACTGCCATTATTAGTTTTTGTCATATAGTTTGATTTAACAACAAAATCTTCTATTAGTCCTTGAGAAATTTTTCTATTAGGAAAACGTTGAGGAGAGATCAAAGCATTTTTAGAACTAAAGGGCTTACCCTAAAGAGGAATCCTAGTAGGAGAAACTAGAATATGATGTTGCATATAAAAAATTAATGTAATTGAATTTATTTTTTTTCCATGGAAATACACAAGATTTATATATATATATAGAGGGATTCGATTAAGTCTTGGTTTATTTATGAAATAATACATAAGATGCTATTTCTAATAATTGATATTTAGGTGTACAGATCAAGTCAGCTATTTGGCAAATACAAAGTATGATATTCAATTAAGATTTAGTTGAATGTGATTTATGCCAAAAAGATATCAATTCCAGCTGTTCTGATTCATGACTAAGCTGATGATATCATAAACTATATTTAAATCCATGTAATACATGATAAGTATTATAGATTTATAGAATAGTTGTTTCTCAATTATAAAGTCAATATATTTCCAAATATTATGCAAAAGAATTTGATTGACAAATTTGCAGGCCATTACAATGTTTCTTTAATTTAGGAGTAAATAAATGATCTAATATTATAATTTAATTTATGAGTTAGAAAAGATAGGATGGCAGAAATCTCTTGTAAATGAGAAATATTGAATTTAAACTTGCCATTGATCTCTCTGTTGATGGGTCTTGCTTATATAAATAAGGATTAACTGAAGTGATTTGTTTAGTATAGGGGCCAAGAGCTGTAAATAATATTTTCATATCAGAAAACATAATCAGAATTACTACTTATTGAATACTCTGTTTCACCTTTTAGCAACATAGAATCAAAAAGGAATTCTAAATTTGATAAAGATTATTCAATGTTTGCTGAAAATCTTAAAGAGTCTTTTGAAAATCTCATCATCTTAGATGAAAATGGTAAATCAGAAATCTCAATTTCAGTCTGTGTTATTTAAAATGATGGTAGTTCTAAAAGTGCTGTTTTCAATGCAATCACTTTGGCATTATTAGATGCTGGTGTTTCTATGAAGGATTTTCTAGTATCAGTTACAGTTGGTCTAGATCAAGGCAACTTAATTGTAGATCTAATTTAAGAAGAAAGTAAAACAGCTCAAGGAGAACTTACAATATCCTATTAATCAAGAAAACAAAAAATAGATTTCTATGAATTAAAAACATTAAAATTATAATAGCAAGAAATGGATTAATTAAGCAAATTAGCAGTATCTAAGGCAGATGAAATTTATCAATGGATGAAAGAAGAAATATATTAAATCAAAGAAAAATAAATAGATTAATGAAAATTTGTGTATAATATATCATTAAATATAATTATCATGCCATATGCAATTTCAAGTTCAAATCCTGATATCAAACAAAGACTTGAAAATTAGTGATTTTAACCCTTCAGATACAGGTCATCGCTCAATTATGCTAATCCTCATACTCTCTCCTGTACAAACCCAATACTCAATATGATTAGCATATAAATGCTGGCCTTGGAGCACTATATCTCATTGGAATCATTATTTTTACTAAGATTAATCCATTAAAATTTTATGCTATTAAATTGCTGCGAAAATCTCTCTTCATCCTAAGCAAAAAATGCTAAATTAGACGGCTTAAGATAAAATATATATATATTCGTTTTATGAATCCTCCAAATTTTTGAAAAACTTTGGATGATAGAATTTGTATTGCATCCTTTAATTAGAAAGGCTTGGGAAAGAGCAAATGAAATTCAGAAAGACTATTCAGATTAATTAAGGGAATATATAGCTACTTTAGAAACAGAATTGAGAAAATGATAAATAACAAGCAAATAAAATATTATTATTAATTATATCAATAGATTTTAATATTTTCCTAAACAGAATTTGAAATTCTTTGATCCCTCTGTAAAGTTACTAACCTATAAGAAATGTGAATCTATAAAAAAACAGAGTCTTTAAATAGTAAAATTCAAAAGAAAAAAGATATATCATTTTTCAGGAACTTTAAAATTGATATAAATTATTGAAGCCAAGCAAAATATATTAATAAAAATGAAAGGTCAGAAATTAGATAGAGGTTCTTTTAATTTAAAAGATTTTAGATATTCTGTTGAAAAATAAAGTAAATTTTATTGATTATGAGATTTGCTTTAAATATTAAAGACACGATGATTCTTTTATCAAAAACCTATTTGCATAAATTCTTGTTTTATTATTATATGAAACCTAATTGAAATAAAATCTATAAAATTTGATATATTTAATTGATTCTACTTCAATTATATTATACTAAACAAGCAATCTTAAAGTATTCTATCTTTTTGATATATGAGTATGGCTGCTATCCTTATATATCTTAAGATCTGAACAAACCCAAGACAGAATTTTAATTTGATATAAAATTATATTAACCATAAAAATTTAGAAAAATCCTTAAATGTTCTAAACAATTCACAATTTGCTGCCAAGCTTATTCAATTATAATGAATACATACCAGCAAAAATAGAAATAGATAGATTGACATAGTTGGAAGCAGTATTATTATGTCAATTTAATCACTAGCGTATGAAGGAATTAAAAATTATTCAAACTAATAATGAACTTTATACCAAACAAATTATACGTCGATAATCAATAGAAAGATATAAGTAAAAGAAACGATTTGGAAATGCTTAATAGATATATTAAGTGCGTAAAATTATTGCAGAGAAAAGATTAAGAATAAATGGGTAATTTTTAACATAAAGTGAATCTGAAAAGATTTTGTAAGCTAGGTATATTTTAGGAAAAAAAAAAGTTTAAATAATAAACAATAATGTGAAAATAAAAATTTCTAATGAAAAGCGAAAGGAAAACCTTATAAAATTTATTGATAAATTAATGCCTGATTAAATTTTATAGAAAATATAGAATAAATAAAGAATATTCAAAATTAAATGAGTTTCTATTTTTTTCATAACTAATATTAACAAACTATAATCCTACCTTATTCAATATTTTTCTCATTAATGGTAAATTCTATAAAATGTAAAAATCATCTTTAATTAACTCTCTCATAAAAATATTATTATGAGTTATTATGATTAGGCTAACAATCGATATTTTCATTTTTTTTTGTAAATTAACTGATAATTTAAGAATTTATTAGAGTCTGTAATAAATAATATTTGATATAGTAAAAAAGCAACGGGATTTTTAGAGAATTTTCGAAATAGATAAAATGAATTATAGTGAATAGGTAATTATTTTGAGATATTGCAACTATTCTTGGTAATTTTGAAAATTCTTTCTGTTCTTTGACTAAAATTATTTTGAAATTTTCATTCTCATAATAATACCATTTCATAAATAATGATAATGAACAATAATATATGTTAAATATTGTAAATTTTATTGAATATACTATTAAATTGCCTATTCCTGATCTTTTTCAATTTAGAAATTTCAAGTTTAGAACATCACCACATATTGAAAAATTACTTGATTAATTTAACATGATATTAAAATTTATTTATATAT